TCCTAGCATGTTATTGGTGAGAGCCACATCTGCCAGTTCATCCCAGGCATTGGTCATTCGTGATTTCTCTCTTTTGTGGAGGCCCCGAGGAGGAGGCCAGTGTCTGTGGAGTCACTGAGAACTGATTTGGGCTGTTGTGCTTTATCTGAACCGTTATTTACTTTCATCCTTACTCAGTTTCTTCTGATCCCTTTAGGTGATATCTGTTCTTATACTCAGTTATGACAAGGATGTCTGACTCGTTCATGCTCTGCTTTCTTTTTTCATGCAATACAGACATTTATTCAGTATCCTTCTTATTCATATTCAGTTTGAAATATTTTGTCAGTTAACCCATGAACCTTCTGAGACCTATGGACCAGGTTGAAGGGTATTTCCTTACTCCTGAACATGTTGAGGGTAACATTTCTATCTTTTATTTTGGGGATTGCTCTTGCTGGATGGTCTAATAAACACCGTGTGAAGAAGTGGCAAAAGCAGGCACTCGTGCCATGTCCCTGGCCTAAACGGAAAATCTTTTCCTCTTTCACTCTTGGGTCTGATGCACACAGTGGGGATTTTATCAATGGATTTCTGCTGTTTGGAGGGACCCTCCTTTATGTTCCCTTACGTTGAGTCTTTTCATCGTGATGGGTGCTGATTTTGTTAGATCCTCTTACTGCCTACGTTGAGATGATTAGCAGGTTGTCATCCTACATTTTGTTGATTCTGTGTATGACATTGGTTTTCACTGGTTCAATCTTCATTGTGCTTCCCAAGGAAATCCCACTTGTTTGTGGGCTCTAAATGTGCTGCTAGTTTTTGTTTCATATTTTTGTATCAATGTTCTTGCAGGGTATTTGCTTCTTGTTTTCTTCCCTTGTGGTCTCTTTGTCTGGCTGGGTATCAGGGTGATGCTGGCCCCTTGAAATGAATCTCAAGCATTCCCGCCTTCTCTATTATTGGAAGAGACCGGCATTCATAATTGCCAATTTGTTACATGTTTTGTCGAATTCTTCAGGGGGAGCCATCTGGTCTCGGGTTTTTCTCCATAGGTTGCTTTGTGATTAGGATTTGTTCTCCTCAGTGGGTTAGGTCCCTTCTGATTTCTCTTTTCTTCACGAATCACTCTTGGTAGGTTGTATGTTTCTCAGAATTCATTTTCTCCATTCCCTCCCTGTCATCCGAGTTCTTGGGTGTAATTTGATGGTAGGAGTGTCTTGTCATCTCTTTTATTTGGGCAGCGTCCGTTGTACCTCCGTGATTCTCATTCTGAATTTAGTTAATTGAGTCTTGTTTATTTTTTTCCTAGTTAATCTACTGAAGAGTCGGCCCATTGTGTTGTTGGTTTTTGTTCCAAATAGCAGCTCTTTATTTCACTGATTTCTGCTACTGTTTTTCTGTTCTCGACTTCATTTCTTCCTGCTCGAATCTTCACTCCTTTCTTCCCTGGGCCATCTCGGGTTTAAGGTTTTCATCCTTATGTAGTTCTTGACACATAAAATGAGCTTGTTGAGCCGAGATCATTTTTCTTTGCAAACGTAAGCATTTACTGCTCTCAGCTGCCCCCTTAGTGCCGCATTCCTTGTACCTCGTAAAGTGTGGTCTGTTGGGCTTTTGCTTTCATCTGTCTGGAGATATTTTCTAAGTTCCCTTGTGGTTTCTTCCTTGACCCGGGGGTGATTTGACAGGGTCCTGTTCAATTTCCACAATTTTGTTAATTTTCCAATTACCCTTCTGGAATGGGTTTCTGGTTTCTTTCCACGGAGGTCAGAAATGAGACCTCGCATGGTTTCAGACTCATTAAATTTGTTGAGACTCTCAATGTAAACAAAGAAGTTAAAATCAAAAACGTCTGGAAGGAATGTAGGATTAGGTCTTGGCGCACGTGGTGTGGGCAAAAGACTCACTTCCAACGCACAGAAAGTCATAGAGGCCACACACACAAGAGAGGTTACCTAGATTTCACCAAACTCAGCAACTGTGCCCTTTGCCCTTAGCAGAATGGAAAGGCAAGCTGTAGACTGTGAGAAAATGTCTGTGAAAGGGACACCAGTCAAGGACAAAGAATGCAGCATATATAAGGCCCTTGTCAACCATTGATGAAGGAGAAAACCCAATAGTCAAGGGCAAAGCATTCGAATAAAGGTGACTTGGCACACACACACACACGTACGTGGGAAAGGATATGGAAAGGGCCAGGAGAAGAGACTGGACCAAAGACAGTCACTGAGGCAGTGTCTGAGCTGGGTCTGAGCACTCAGGCAAGTCACCTCCCTTCTATGGCTCTACTTTTCTCATGTGGACAGTGAGGGTGGACAGCTGCCCAGAGCATCAGTGAGGGTGCAGTGGGATTGGGTGTGTGTGGCTGGATGAGTCGGAGGCTGGGTGTGATGAGACAGTGCAGCACAGGGGGACGTGTTGCCCAGGGACGTACGAGCCCCTTAGTGTCAGGAGCAATGGACTGCAAAGAGCAGAGCTGGTGACTTGTTATGGATTGCATTTTAAAATGGCTCCCGTTCAAAATCGGGAACCAGTGGCACAGGCCTGTACTCCCAAGGACTCAGGAGGCTGAGACAGGAGGATTGCAACTTTGAGGCCAGCCTGAACAAAGTGGCGAGACCCTCAGTAATACAGAAAGATCCTGCCTCAACATAAACAATTACAAAAAGTTTGGGTACATAGAATCCCTAGGTTGAGTCTCCAGCACCCTCAAAATGTCCCCAGAGTGCTCATGTGCTAGGCAATGAGGCAGTGTTTGAAAGTGAAAAGAATGGATGATGAAAGCTGTAGCCTCTTCAGTGGATTAATCCACTTGATGGATTAATAATTTGAATGGACTACTGGGTGCTACATGTAGGCAAGCGAGGCATGGCTGGGTTGAGTAGGTCACTGGCGGCATGACGCTGTTACTCTGATGCACCTGGCTCCTCACATTTCTCACCCTTTTGCTGGGCCTAATAAGCCCCTCCTTTCGGGGCTGCCTGATGGATGGAAACATGGGCTCCCAAATGAGATCCTAGGTGAACATTCAGAGCAGAATTCCACATAACCATGGATAACTGGAAACCAGCAGAGCAATACTAGTGTGTGAACAAGTGCAGAAGGACTCCAAAGTCCTCAGATGTGGAGAAGGCTGTAGGTAGGTTCAGGTGCCTTGTGTACCACAGCCACAGACCTGCCACATCAGAGGGTCTCTGAAAACACTTTGCCAAGAGAAAACGTCAGCCTCTGTGGTGAGGGTCCCGTGGAAGGTCACAGGCTGGGGATGGAGGGAGGTCTGACTTGGTCTTCTCTTGACACAGAGAGTGTGGAGGCGTGGTCTCCACATGGGCCCAGCCAACCCTCCAGTGGGACCCACACTCGGTCAGCCATTTCTGAGGCCATCTTCCGCTCTGCTTCTAGACAATCTGTCTACTCCCACTCTCCCTTCCTCCCTTGCTCTTAGCACAGCACCACAGAGAGTGTGGAGCCTTGGACCCTGGTGTGGCCCATTCGGGGAAAGGGAGGCAGAAGGGGGAGCACCCCGCAAGGCTGGAAGGCGGGGAGGTGGAGGCAGGCCAACCACCACGTCCCTGAAGGCTCCTCACTCCTCTCCCAGGGAGCTGCCATGTCAAGTACCCTCTGCACTATGGTGCTCAAATCACACCTGTGGCTTATGGAAATTGCCCCCCCCCCCCCGATCTTGGAAAAGGCGTATTGTCTAGAGCATGTGGGAAGTGGCCTGGACGGTTCTGGTCACATTGGGTACCACTCATCACACCCGGAACCTACAATCCCACACACCTCTTATCCCTCCCTCCATCCCAACCATGGACCCACACAGAGAAAGCGAAGAACACTCCATTACTCTGTGTGTTTGTGTGTGTGTGGCGCATGCGTGAATGTTCAAATTAATCATTGAGGCTCGGTGAAGGTCAGAATCACAGAAGGTCAGTCGCTGAGGCCCAGAGTGGGCCCTTACTTCAAACAGAAGAAATCACACCACAGGCCCCCAAATGGTACATGCACCCGATACCTGTGTGGAAAACAGGGCCAAGTCCTGGATATGTGACCTATGCAGCCCCACCCAACCTCAGAAGAGCTCCAATGTGGAATCACGTTCTGCTATCACTCTCTTGAAATTCTTAATCACTTTCAAGGAAATCAACCTTGGTCTTCCTTTTCCACTGAGCCTCAAAATAATGTGGGCAGCCTGGGTCTAGATCTGGGTCAGGCTCTGGGAACTCACTGGGACAAAAGAGGCAAGGCTGCAGCAGGGACACTGGCACCACTGCGTGCCTCCTAGTCCTCTGGGCTGTGTTCTACCTGGCGATGGCCATTACTGGGGAACCCCAGGAAGCCCAGGGCACCATTTCTGCCAGGGATGGAGCTCCTCCCAGGGAACCAGCCTGTCTCTTCCCTCCGCATCTTGCTGGAAACGGACTGGCCTGCTTCAGGATGAGAGGGGCAGTGAAGCCCCCACCCCTCGCTGGCCATGGGCTGATTAAGCTTTTCTGTTTGTCCTCATTGGTCAGCAATTTTCACTCTCACCCACTGCAGGGCTGAGGCCATCAACCCGGGGCCCTCCTCACTGGGCTTAAGACTCCTTCCCGGGGTGAGGGTCCTGAATTGCCTCATGTTGTGCGAAGGGTTAAGGGACCAGGTCTCCATAAAAGTGGGGACTCGGGTGAGTGAACCCTGTGGTTGCCCATGGGCACAATCATTCTGTGGTACGGTGGCACTGACCTCCAGGCCTTCCATTCTCCTGCCGCCTCTTGCCTACTAGCTGCTGCTACTTGAGCTGCCTTCATGGGGCATCACAAAAGCGCTTAAACTGGGGCCTCCTCCAACTCACTGTCCCCCCTCTCACCTGGAACTGCCACACCTCCCTGCATTCCACCTGTAACTGTACCCGTGAGGTTCATCTTCAGAGGCGAGGGCCACAGATCCAGGACAATCAGAAGAAGCGACCTCCTTACCAGACCAGCCAAAGGCCAATCATAGCCACACATGCACAGGTCAAGCAAGAGACTACCCAATTCATTTTGCAACTTTAATGTAACACTGATACCAAAACATGAACACACAAGAAAAAGCACACAACGAAAGCAGGAGCAGCAAGGGGAGCTTCGCGTTGCACGGCCCCTCCGACCCACAGGGAGAAGCGCCTGGAGTGCTGCTTAAGAGGGACTCTGCAGAGGCAGTCTGGCTGGATGAGGAACATCACGGCACGTCCTCAACGCTGTCTGTAACACGAGGAATAATACAGAAACGGATGGATGGAGGCCCACAGCAACCAGCCAGGGGTAATACAAAGGGCAACGGGTATCATTCCATGTTTCCACAGGCTCACCACCGCCCTGCCCCTAGCCCTGCCCCTAGCCCTCCCCCTAGCCCTCCTGGGGCCTCCCCCGGCCTCCCCCACAGCCCTCCTGCAGGTCTCACGGCCCTGGGAAAATCTTACTGGATCCAGGAGAAGAAGCTGGCGCCAACTCGGGCGGCATTTCTGGTCCGGATGGTGGAGCTGGTGCTGGGGCCATCAAGGATGCTGGTGCTGGCCCCGCCGTTGGTGCCGCTGCTGACACCAGCTCTCCATGTGGCTCTCCTGTTGGCACGGTTGCTATTCAGAATGTACTGATGGTACCTGGCCCAGAACGCAAAGGGGATCCTGGCCCAGGCGTCGCCGAAATCCCCGTCCTCATCCCAGGTCAGCAGCTCAGACTGTATGTCGTCCCAGCTCCACCGCCCAATCAGAGCTTCGTCCCCGATATTCATCTGCGCCCTCATCTGGGCCCTGGCATGTTCCTCGGCCATCTCCACATCCATCGTCTTGAAAGCATCATCCACAGCCTCCAAGAAGTGAGCCTTCCATTCCCGGGGGTCCCGGTTCTGGTTCTGAGGTGGGAAACAGCAGCCTCAGTGCCAGGGCTACCCCACAATTCGGGCAGCACCTGCTGCCGGCCACACCCTCCTAGGCGCTTCAGGAAATGACCACAAAAAGAAAGACCCCTGGAATCGGGACACATCCGGCACAATCACGACCCCTGTGAACTTGTCTTCTTCGCTTAGGAACCGCTCAGCGTCCACGCGAGGAGGCCGTGACCAAGAAACGAACAAGGCATGCAAAGTGCCACCCCCCGAGGCCTGGCACCCCACACAGGTTCCCAGGTACCTGGGCAATGAATCTCAGGACCCTCATCTTGCTGGTCTCATGGCGGGCTCGCAGGCCCCACAGAAACTCATACTCAGGCGGGCTGCTGTTGGGGATCTTCTTGTACTCCAGGTACCTGAGCCAGAGAGGAAAATGTCCTTGGCTTCTTTCCCAGCAGACCCGTTGTGGAACCCATGGGTTCCATCGGGCCCCTCCTCTACCCCAGAGCTGCAGTTCGGCTGGCAGAGAAGGGCTGCCCCGCCTGCACCCAGTCTCACCCCCAGGAATTCCACCCCCAACAGCGTGGCCCTCACAGCTTCACAGCAGTGGGCCCACCCGGAAGCCACGTGCAGGTCAAGAGTGGACATGTGTAGGGCATATGCTCACGGGGAGGCCACAAGTGTTGTGCCTCTCATCATCATAGCCCCAGAATTCCTGTTGGGTGTGTTGTAAACAGAGGAGCCATTCTTCGGGCCCCCTGCTCTGAGCACACCCCGTCACTAGTGGCCCAAAACAAAGAAAGACTGCCGAGCCCCTGAAAGATGTACCATTGACAATGGCAGGGAATAAAGGAAACAAAAAAAGAGTCAGCCAAGAAGATCTCCATGGGTTAGTCTAAATTCCTGACCCTTTTGTGTGTGTGTGTGTGTGTGTGTGCCTGTCCACACACCTGCCCATCTGCCTGTGCACATGCCTGCCCGTCTGCCTGCCTGTGTCCCTGCTTGCGTGTCCTCCAAGAACCAAGGGCAGGTTGGGTCTAGGCCTGGAACCCTGGAGAGCCGGGCGCCCAGCCTTTCCAGCTGTGGGCCATACTTGGAGACCTCCCTTCTCCAAGCCCCTGGCTCCTCAGGTGTACAAAGAGCAGGGGAAATTCCTGTGGCGGTCCATAGGGCAGGTGTTCAGTGACATGGTGGCCCTAACACACACATGCCCTCAGCACACTCCCAGTCAACACAGGCTCCCAGTTCCAGAGACAGCCCCAGAATTCTGCCCCCTGACCTCACCCGGGCTGGGCCCTGCTCGTGCTGGGTTACAAAATGGGATGGGCATGTCTTCTCCACCCAACTGGCACTGTGGAGTACCCCAGAGTGATGTGAGGTCAGCTCAGCAATACTTACTTCTGCTTCACGAAGTCATCTGTGATCAGCTTCCTCAGATCACCAAGGAAAGGGTGCCTCACCCTGAGTGCAAGCAAAGACATCCATGACCAGTGAGGGTTGCAGTGGCGGACATGGGCGGCAGCATTTCCGGGCACCTTCACTGGCTTCCCAGCCCGTGGGGACTGCCTTCCCAGGACACGGCACAAAGCAGAGGCCAGGTGACCCGGTGGATCCCCTGACTCTGTCTCTCTGAGGTGTCCTCTGTGGACAGAGCTCTGAGGGGGCTGAGAGATTGGCATCATTACTGCATCCATCCCTAGGGAGACCCTCTGTTCTCTAGCTAGCCCGGGCGCCCCACTCCTTTCTAATCCCGGGACCTCCTCTGCCATAGAAGAGCACCCAAGGGCAGGGGCCGAGGAGCCAGTCATACCCAGGGCGCAGTCCCATCTTGCGGAGTGCCTCCCAGAGGATAGCTGCGAGGGGAGACGGGGGACGAGAGATTGGCACCCAAAGATGAGACCGTGGCCAAATCCCCAGGTGCAGAGCCAGCACTCACCCTCGCTGGCACGGTTGCCATTCATGAAGATGACGCCCAGAATCACCAAGAGGAGACTCAGCCGAGGAGTGTCCTTGGTCCTACAGGTGGAGAGAGAGGGAAGGGATGCTGTGCAGAGGCCACTGCCCTCAACGATGCAGCCGGCTCACCATCCACCCTCTCCCAGGTTGCCCATGGGGAGGGGAAATTCTTGGCAGGGATACGTAGCCTGATGCCCCATGGATCACAGACAATTCCACCTGGTGGAAAGAGACTTAACTGCCTCGCCCATAACCGGGGCATCTGATACCCCTCCCCCCCAGGGTTCTGCAGAGCATGGGGTGAGTCAGGGAGCACGGGCTGGGCAAGTGGCCATGGGGTGTCCAGAGGCGCCTTCAGGTGGGCCATGCCCACCTCAGGATCTGCACTCTACAGGAAGCTCTCCCTGGAGGACCACCCTGCTGCGCCCATGCCAGCAGGGATGCAGTGAACCACCTTCCTCCCACCCAAGGGCAAAAATCCCAACAGCAACAAGGTCTCGCCCCCCCCAGGATGCTACTCATTTTATACAGTGGTCCCTGGGCACTGCAACCTCCCAGGGTGGGCCCTGCCGGGGGGGCCCTCCAGCCCTGGGTTCCTGGACCCTCAGAGGATGCAGACAGGGACAAGGCATCCCCAAGGAGGTCACGACATTCTTTCCCCTCCTTACTTCCCGAGAAGACGAGCTGAAGAATCCCGGGTGCAGATGAGAATGTACAGGTGCTCCTCCTTGTCGATTTCCTTCAGGTGGATCCCAAACTTCTACATGGTGAGAAAACAGAGTGAGATCTACCCCTACGCTGGGCATCGTGCAGCCAGCCAGTCAAGCCCCATGGGAAGTGTCCTCCTACCCTACTCCAAACCTGTGTGTGAGGGTGGCGGGGGGCGGGGGGGGGGGGAGGACAGGAGACCCACCACAGGAGACAGACTCTCAGAGCAGGGCCTGGGAAGGGGCAGGTGTCGCCCTGCGGGGGCAGTGGAAACTCACAGGTGGAGGGCTAGCGGAGGTCCCCAGAGCAGGCAGGGTGGGAACTGGGCCTCCAGGGGCCACAGGCCATCCCACTGCTCCACAGCTCTAATCTCCAGTGGCGTGGAGCAGCTTCTGTCCCCGCACCCACCTTTTCCAGAGTGTAGGTGGCTCGTTCAATGATCTCAGGGAAATGTTCGTCATATTCCCGAATGACGTCCTTCATCATGTCTGTGGGAGGGGGGCAGTTAGGGGAGGCACCCGGGCTGAGCAGGGTCCTCATAGCTGAGCTCCCTCAGCCAGTCATGCTGAAGGCAGCGGGTCGGGGCCCCGCTCTGCTGCCTACCTGAGCGCTTGATGGGGATCTTCTTGTAGTCTTTAATCATTAGGTATTTCACCAGCTTATTTGCCTGGAGGAGGAGGAACGCGGGGGTACATCGAGGCATGGGTGGCCAAACAGTGCTGGCCCGTGGGGTAGGAGGGGATGGTGACGCAGAGTGTGGACTTCTTATCTTACCCTCTCTTGCAGAAGGGTCACGTTGCGAGGGGGCAAGCACAGGACATGCCTCGAAGGTATCTGGGACCTTGGGGCCACCGGGGGCCGAGGGGCCGGCTGAGCCTGTGCCAAAGAGGGGGGCTGCGATGCTCTCCAGGTTGGTGGCACGGCGGGGGGCTCTCTCTCCTCCTCGCTGCTCTCATAATCCTCGACAAGGTGCTTGGACTGTATCATGAGAGAGAGAGGAGACAAGCGGGACTAGCAGACTTCCCGTGCCAATGCACCCGCCACACACCTTCCCCACAACAGGCGCTTGGAGGCGAGAGTAGTATGAGCAGTGGCTGGCACGTGCTGAGAGCTTGCTAAGTGCCAGGCTCTGAGCCAGCCTCTTTTCCCACCAGCCCCGAGGGCTGGAACTACGTGGAGTCAAAACACACTCAGCAGCCTTGTGCTGCGGAAGCATGGACTAAGCTGGGATGAGAGTAGGGGGAGGGTGGGGAGGGGAGGAGAGGAGAGGAGAGGTGAGGTGGGGAGAGGAGAAGGGGGAGAGAAGGGGCAAGGCAGGGGAGCCAGGGGCTGTGCCGATGGCACAGGAGTCCATACCTTCTTTGTCCTCTTGCCTCCCATTCTGGTCCAGGGCTCAGCACTGTGCTGGGCAGTGGCAGCTGCCCCCTCCTGCTCAGGGATGCTTGTGGCCGCCTTGGCCTTGGCCGCGGCTGCTGCCGCCACGTTCTGAGGCTCCACCCACCGAGTCTTGGCCAGCGCCTTCCCAGACTTGGTGGTCTTGGGCCGGGTGGCTGACCCCTCCCTGGCAGGTGCTGCCTGGGGCACACAAGAGGCAGCACTGGGACCCTCTGTGGGGGCCTCTTGGGCTGGGGCAGGTCTCTTGGGACGAGGGAAGGCCATGCCACTGACACCTGCCGGCTGAGTGAAATCAAAGACATCGTTCTGGCCCAGGAAGGCTGTCTGGGGCTGGGTGGCATCCCTCTCGCTGGCACTTGGAGCCTGAGTGAAAGCACAGGCGGTGCTAGGGCCCTCTGCAGCAGCTTCCTGCGCCAGGAAGGCTGTCTGGGGCTGTGTGGAGGTTGCTGGAGCCCCAGGGGCAGCCCCCTCACTGGCGACTAGCGTCTGGGAGGTCTGCTGAGAGGCACGGCTGGTCTCAGGGGTGGCCCCCTGAGCCTCGGCATATGTCATTGGCTGGGCGTCCTCTACTAGGGCCTGCTGTGCGGCCCTCATCTGGTTAGAGATCGCCTGGTTGAAGGACCTGCGGGCAGCAGAGGCAGCAGCCCGAGCGGCCCGGTTGGAGGCGGCAGAGCGGGCTACGTTGGCAGCGCGGGCCTCCGTCTCATTGGCAAGGGTGTCCGGATCCAGCTGCAGTGCCTCCACCAGGGTCTGGGCCAGCACAGGGTTTTCCAGTTCCCAGGGCTCATTCTGCAAGGCCAGAGGAGCGGGGCACGAGAGGGGAGGGCATACACAAGTCGACACACTGCCATGGTGCTTCCCAGGAGGCCCAGCCTCCTCCCACCAGCTGGCCCTGGCCACCCCTCAGCAAGACAGGGAAGGTTCGGGAAAGCTGGCCATGCCTTGCCCACTCGGCCCTCCCCCTTCCTTCACCCACCCCGCTGCACAGGGGTCAAGGCTCAGGGCAAGCAGGTGCTCAAGAAGGGGCCTCACCGCTAAGAAGCGAAAGCCTGAACCCAAGCTCCCAAAGGCTCTCAGGAGATGGATGTCAAGGCTGGTGAGGGTGCCATAGCCACCGAAAGCACCAAATTCTTCATAGTCGTTGCCTCCAACCATCTCTTCCTCCCTGGCTCGCTGGCTCCCCTCATCCATGTCTCCAGAGTTGGAGTTTTCCGACTGCCCGCTGTGGCTTCTCTCAGCCATGCCGCGGGTCCCAAGGAGAAGACAGCTCAGCCTGAGAGGGAGGGTGAGGCAGCTTCAGGGGGAGGGTGCGGGATTCAGTGAGGCGGGATCTCTCGCGAGCTGAGGGGCCGCAATCATCAGGTTACTAAGCAGTACAAGGCAGCACAAGGAGGTGGTGGTGGCGCAGCGGCGGCGGTGGCAGCAGCGAGGGGGTGGGGTGGGGGGGTCTGACGGGGTAGCCGCGGTCAGGGGCAGAGCCCCACCAGAGGGATAGAGGAGGCCCCGTCCCCGTCCCCAAAGGGCTGTTGACCACCGGCAGGCTCCCCATCCCTGAGGCTACGTTACAGCGTTTGAACTGGGGGTGCACCTGAGAGCTCAGGTCCCAAGAGTCCCGAAGGGGATGCGTTGAGAGAGGGAGAAACAAAGGGCTTGGGCTTGAGGGCCACAGCTGGGGACCACGACCAAGGGGGAGCCGACACCAGGGCTCAGACAACAGCGACAGCCCCAAGCTCTGGGAAACCGAATCCCGGGGACCTTGGGGCCAGGTCCCCGCCAGGGCGGGGGTGGAGGGGGGATTCAGCTGATTCCGGTCTAGGCTGGGCTCGGAAAGGATGGCTAGGGGTGGATGGTGCATAGGATGAGGGCCTTGGACCGAGGCGAGGTTCCAACTGGAGCCCTGGTGAGCTCAGGTCCAAGGGCCGGGTCTCCGGGAAGGGGGCAAGCGGTCAGCTCCTCCGGAGTCATCTAGGAGCCTGGGGTGGGGGTGGGGCCTCGGACCTAAGGAAGCTCAGCTCTGAGCACACGGGTCTGCCCCACGGGTGGGGAGCATGGGCTCTGGGGCCGGTAGGCTGGGGTCTGGGCGCGCGGGCGTGATGGTCATAGCGGGGGTGCTCCTATCTCCACCTCGGGTCTAATGGGGTTCCGGTTCCGAGCGCTCCGGCTTTGTTCAGATCCGGAGGGCGGGGGCAGGGCGCAGCGTGTCGGGTTGCACTCGCCCTCGCCAGGTCCTGTCTGGGGCTGGATCCTTACCTTCCCTGGGGCTCCAATGGCGTCGGTCCTCAGCACCAGGAACCCCGCAGCCGCGCCCTCGCCTACTGCTGCCAGCACAGCAGCTCGGACCACCCCGCCCCTTTTCTCCGCGCACCCCCGGCGGCTGGGGAGCCTGCGCATGCGCGGACCCCTCCAGCCCTCCCGCTTTCCCAACAAAAGCCCTTTCCTCCAGGTCCCCAGTGCGCATGCGATTCCGCGGGTGGGTGGGTGGGCAGGGGGGCGGCGGGGTGGGGGTCTTCTTCCCGCCAGATGCCCCTTCACCCCTCCTCCTCCCACCGCAGGCGAGCTCACTCGTACCCCGCAGTACAGCTCCACGCACCCAAGTTTCTATTCTCAACCCACACCCCTCACTGTTGCACAATGCTTCTAGCTGCTGCCCTTTCACCCAAGCTCCTCCAGCCTGGTCCTGGATACTTTATGCCCCATTTCCCCGACATGTCCCCTTTGGCCACGTCAAAGAGGTCTCTGGCAGCGTCTGGAACCGCAACAAGTGGGAAACCCTCGACCTGTGACCTGCGGGGCCAGGAAACTGTTGGTGGCCAGAGGATGGAAGCGCCCCTCGCGCTGCCCTCCACCATCCATCTCTGGGGCCCCCAGACACTCTGGCTACATCTGCCACCTCCACTGCCTTTCTTGCAGCTTGGCAGGCCACAGCGGGATCCGTTGCCAGGCCTGTGTTCCTCTCTCAGCAGCTCTGGCAGGTGCATGGAGCCTCCCCATTTGACAGACCAGGAAACAGAGGCACAGACAGACACAGGGCAAGGGCCAGACAAGTCCCGGAGCCAGTGAACAGAACGTGCACCATTTGGGCCCGGTTCTTTCTGAGAGCAAAGTCCCTGTTGTGCTCCTGCAGGCCTGGGGACCAAGGCACCCTCCTCTCCTCCATTGGAGCCATATACCTCCCCCACCACCGCATCTGCCCCAAAGGAGCAAGGGTTGTGCTCTGGGAGGCCTAAGCTCATGCCCTGAGCTCTGTGTGGGCCCATCCATATGTGGCCCTTGTTCCTTGTGGAGGTGTGTGTGTGTGTGTGGGGGGGGGGGGGTCTGCTCTCTGCTGCCACTGCAGAGCCTCTTGCCTGTGACGCCCTCAGGCTGCCTTCAGAGACCTTCCAGGTGCCCGGAGGGAGCTGCCAAGACAAGCGGGTGTTTCTTGACAGTCTGTCCCATGGCAAGCCCTGGTTCAGAACCAATGCTTGCCTGCCCCCTTCCACGCCAGGGGTGGTCTTGCAGGAAAAAAAGCTATGCCCCGCCCCCGGCTGTGGGAGCCTGCTGGGGTCACTAGAGCCCCCTGAACCTGGCTCTCCAATGTGAAAACATGGGAAGCACAGTAAGGGGATCCTGCCCAAGGACATCCAGGCTGCTGTGCTTCTAGGATGACCAGGAGAGACTGCTTTTGAGGCAGAGAATGCAAAAGCCCCATCTCAAATCGGAATGCAACTCTTCTTTTCCCAAGAAGAAAACATGTGAATTTATTTCCGCTCTGTGTGACAGGGAGCCTTCAGAATGAAGACCCAGAAGAACAGGGAGACCTGTGTATGTGGGGGAACAATCTTGCAGAAGTACGGTTGTGGGACCAAACGGTATAACACAATGCTAATAAAAGGAGGGGAGCTTCAGAAGCCCTGCAACTTGGGATTCGTTTCTGTGTCCCTGCATGACATCCACTTATTCTGGGTATGGGAAGGACCCCTCTGGAATGATGTTCTTAGGGTCCAAGTTAGGGGAGCTTTGGAGCATTCTTTGACAGCCGGCTTCAGGGGAGAAGGGTGGGAAAAAGTCAGAGAGCCTTCCCTCCTTCTGCTCTTTTCTCCGAGGCCACAGCACCATATCCTGGGGCACAGTGTCCTGAACCCCATCATTCATCCTCCCCAAGAAGTTGCCACCAGTCAACTGGGTGGGTGCCTTGTCTCCTAAGCCATTGGACCAGTCTCCCCGAGTCAGGCCAGTCCAGTTAAACAGCCAACAGTGTGTCTGGGTACAAAGAGGTGGCTTCGCAGGTGGGCTTCCTCCCCAGTGGGCCTCTCCGTGGTGGGATCCAACAGGTGTCTAGTGACGGGCATTGCTAAATGGAAGCAGAGGAGGAGCGGAGGTTAGTGGTCAGAACCACTCCCATCTCTGAGTCTAGAGGGCCGTCGGTCAGGAAGATTTCCAGGTTGGAGTGTGAAGCATCTTCAAGTGAAGAGAGGACTGGCAATGGCAGCCCAAAAGAGTTCCCTGGTCTGCGGTGTGGGTCAGGTGTTGCAGTGAACTTTCTGTGTGGCTTGTTTGGAAACAGGTACAAAGGTTGTCCGTCCGTGCATAAGCTGCTGTGGTGATTTCTCTGGCTTCTGTAATGAGAATGTGTTGGACGCTTACTCTGTCACAAGCACCGTTACAAACACTTGATATCTTAATATTTACGTGTAATATAGCTCATTGAGTCCTCACAGACATGTCATGTGATGAGACACATATTTGCCCATCCTCGTTTTATAGACGAGAAGGCCAAAGAACAGAGTAACTTGCCCAAGGTCCGGGGTAGCAAGACTTGGAGACCTTGTCTGTATAGACTGAGAGCTGGTGGAAGAATTGAGGAGTTCTCAAGGGTATTAAGTAGGTCTAATTTGGGGAGCCAGTGATTTTCTTTTGCAATTAAGCTTGTTTTTCACGGATACTCAGGAACATTAAAAAAAAAAATGAATCTTATTGGGACACCATGTGATGTTCTGATAGTCCTGCACATTGTATAATGTTTACTTTCCCTTAATTCATTTTATCCTATACATAAATCATAGGAGTGGTACTTATCGATGTGTTACTATGTAATGTTTCTATGGCCTTGTCCGCTATGTAATGTTTAAATCAGCTCAAACACATCTATCTCCTCCAATGCTTTTCATTCCTTTATGTCCACAACTTTCAAAATCCTTTCTTTTAGCTCTGTGAAATGTGCAGTACATTGTTACCATCTACACTCACCCTACCCTGCAGTGGCACACCAGGGCTTCTTACTCCCCCCTAACTGTGTCTCATCACCCATTGACCAACCTATATAATCAGTCCCTCCTTGTCCCCTTCTCTCCCCAACCTCTGGGAACCACCACTCTACTCTCAACTTCTGTCAGATCACACTTTTCAGATTCCACAAATGAGTGGGATCATAGGGTACTTTTCTTTGTTGCCTGGCTGCTTTCACTGAACATAGCAATGTCACAGTGCAAATGACAGGATTTCATTGTTTTATGTCTGCAGAGTATCCCTTATTTATATGTAGTATCTTGTCTTTATCCATTTCATCCTTTGGTGAACACTTGGGTTGTTTCCATTTCACTTCTTTTATAAGAATTATTTATTCATTTGTTGCATGTTGATAAACAAAATCATGTTGTATTTATTGTGTATGACATGAGGTTTTGAAAGTTCTTAAACATTGAGGAATGCCAGGCTAGCAGTTTTTGGAATTACGGAATCAGATCTTGACCTGATTAGTTTCCATCTCTCAGAAATCCCTTTCCTGTGTGGTAGGCTTGTCATATAAATTTTCAGTTTATAAATACTTAGGTGGTAAGCAAAATCTTATTGCTGTTATTTCATTCTGGTTGTAAGCATAAGGATCTGTCCTATTTCTTTGTTTTTTTCTCACTAAACCTTGTGCTTTTAAGATGTATCAATGTTGCTATGCAAACATGGAAGATGTCTCTAAGCTGTTATGCACTGCAATGAGGTAGTGTGTATTTGTAACATTTTACCTCTGAATTCCCCTAAGGGTGGATAAACATTTTCCCATTTATGGTAATAACAATGCATTTATATTTTCTAAGTAATTAGTGTATGATTTTTTGTATAATCATTTAACAAATGTCTCTGGGGTAAATATCTGGAGGATGGCATAGGAATAAATTCTAAAGGACAAAAAATACTGCTGGATTTTCAGTGTCATACTGTTAAGAAATTATGGTACAAAGGCTATCAGAGAGATGGAGCTGTTTCTTCCCCTTTCATTCCTTGGGGGAAGTTCTGTCTTACTTGATCTTTCTGGCATCATGTTTCCTTTTCTGCATTCATAACTGAATGTCACCAGTGTTAATTTTAATTTATAGGTGCATGGTGATGTGAAAATACAACCCTTAGCCTGGAAGATTTGTTTTTGGGAGGACAGAGAAGTCCTCTTCAACCCAGTGTTTCCCCTACAGCTATCTTTTCCCTTAGGAGCTCATGCAACAAACTTGTTTACCAGTAAGTCAGTGTTCTGGCTCTTAAACTGGTCTCACAGTATTCAAATTTTCATCATTTAGGCTTCTTTAATTCTTAATAGTTTGACCTTATCATTTAGATAGTACAAATTGTAAACACTTCTCATAGGCAATTCAATGACTCTTCGTATTCCTCATTTATCCTCCTTTTACTTAGAACTGATCACTTTGGAATGAATCTGACCTAACTTTCCTAAGTACATATATGGATATACTACAGTGACTCTCACCATTATGTATATCCACAAGACACTAATTTATAAATGTAAGAAAATAGCGGAAAGATCTGTACAGTAGAGGAAAGGGATTAGGGAAGAGGGAGGAGGCGGAGGGTAAGTGTAAGTACTGGAGACTGAATTGAGCAAATCCGATTCCATGTATTTATAATTATGTCAAAATGAATCCTAATGTTACATATAGCTAATGTGAATCAATAAAAATGAAATACAAGGAAAGAAAACAATATTTAAAAGAATTGGCTACTTCAGATTCTCTTTAACTAGTAATCACATATATCTAACTTATTGGTGTCTTTCCTTGCATAGAATATTATTTTGTGTACATCCATCCACCACTTAAATCTATCAATTCATCCATCTTTTCTGTTTTTTTTTTTTTTATTTATTTATCCATTGCTCTAATAAACATGATTGTGAATCTAATACATAATGGGTTCTGGGTTTAGGCCCTCAGGATATACAATGGAGAACAAAATAGATAGTGGAACCTTTCACTTTGGGGCTTGTACTGGAATCTGAAGACATGTTGGTATGAGGTAGGAGGATTGCAAGATCAAGGCCAGCCTCAACAACTTCGAAACTTAGCAAGACTCCATTTCAAAAGAAAAAAGGGGGGGGGGGGCGCTGGGGATGTGGCTTAGTAGT